CCTAACCCTAACCCTAACCCTAACCCTAAGCTAACCCTAACCCTAACCCTAACCCTAACCCTAACCCTAACCCTAACCCTAACCCTAACCCTAACCCTAACCCTAACCCTAACCCTAACCCTAACCCTAACCCTAACCCTAACCCTAACCCTAACCCTAACCCTAACCCTAACCCTAACCCTAACCCTAACCCTAACCCTAACCCTAACCCTAACCCTAACCCTAACCCTAGCCCTAACCCTAACCCTAACCCTACCCCTAACCCTAACCCGAACGCTAACGCTAACCCTAATCCTAACCCTAACCCTAACCCTAACCCTAACCCTAACCCTAACCCTAACCCTAACCCTGACCCTAAACCCTAACCCTAACCCTAAGCCAGATAATGGTGCAAGCACACAAATGCACATGCCTCTTCACATACACACACGGCGTACACACGCTGCAGAACAAGGATGCCGGTTGACACATCGCTCCACAGCTTGGTGTATCCTGATGCATATGCAGATACATCATGCGTGTGCTTGCCGTGGTCTCGCAACAACGGCACCCACACAGCGACAGTGAGTGATGACAACAGTATGAGAGTAGAGAAGTGGGATGTGTGTGTGCGTGTGACACATCAACATCGACAACACAACGCACAAGGCATCGTATCATCGTGCAATGCAATCCACATGCTCACACACAAACACCCACTCCTTCTTCTTCACAGTCACCATCACAGTTATCATCGCAATGGAGTCGTAAGCTCTCCTCTTCAGAGTCCAGTCTCACACAATGCACACACACAACAAAAATGTGTATGTGCACGCATCGACTAACACCCCATGCCCACCAACAATGCACAGTGTGCAATGAGACATGAGTATATGCATGGGCACTTCTTCATACTGCTACACAACAAACAAACATCGCACCAGCCAAGGTGCGATGCTGCTGCTGCATAGTTGCAGTAATCAAATACACCCACACACATACTCACACCCTCATAAGCACCCAAAAAACGCATTGTCAATGAGATTGAGTGGCGACACTCAGGCAGACATGCCCGCACGCACAGACACGCACACAATGGCGCATGCCCACACACACAGGCGCAATGTGCGTTCGAAGATTCAATGATTCACGGAATTCTGCAATTCACACTACATTTCGCGTCTTGCCACGTTCTTCATCGATGCACGAGCCAAGAGATCCACCGTTGAAAGTTGTCTCATGGTTTTTTTTGGTTGTGTTGAATGAGATGTTGAGATTGAGATCAGAGTGGTTGCAGTGCATGTGTTTGTGTGTGTATTCCAACGCACAATGTTTGTTGGCACACACAAACACAACACATCACAACGCTCCCTCTCTCTCTCTCTCTCTTCCTCTCACTCACTCGTTTGTGGTTATCATGTATGTACGTATGTCCACAGCACAGCACACGCCTTTTAGTTGCTGTTGCTGCAGCAAGATGCTTTCGCCCACACGGACATGTGTGTGCAATCGCAGTCGCTGCCACAACAACAATCCAAACACACGCTTGCTTGCTGTGTTCATTTCTTCTTCTTCTTCTTTGCACGAGGCAAAAAAATGTGTACATCCACACACACACAAGAACACTGCCATCGCAATGCAACACACACAACATGTGCTCCACTGCGACACACAATGCTCATGCACGCATGCACATGCTTTTGCTTTGTTTTGTCTTCATTCACACAATGCTCACTCCCACACACACAAAAGCGTGTGAGAGCGACTTGGTTGGTTGGCTCAGTTGGCTCGGTTGGCTCAGTCCAGTGTCTCCACCTTCCCTCACCTTCCCTCACCCCTCACCATCCCTCACCAACCACGCTTTTCAACGTTTTCCTTGTTGGAATGATCCTTCCGCAGGTTCACCTACGGAAACCTTGTTACGACTTTTACTTCCTCTAAATGATCAAGTTTGACCAGGTTCTCAGCAAAAGATGACATGGGCAGCTGTTGCCAGCGCCCACGCGCCAATCCCGAGGCCTCACTAAACCATTCAATCGGTAGTAGCGACGGGCGGTGTGTACAAAGGGCAGGGACGTAATCAACGCAATCTGTTGAATTGCGCTTACTAGGAATTCCTCGTTCAAGATGAATAATTGCAAGCATCTATCCCCAGCACGACGGGTTTTCACAAGAGTCCCCACGCCTTCCAGCGCAGGAATAGATGTCTGTCGTCGAGAAACGCTTTCACGCTCCCCACCACAAACACCCAAAGCATACTCGCTGCCCCCGTCAGTGTAGCGCGCGTGCAGCCCAGAACATCTAAGGGCATCACAGACCTGTTATCGCCTCAAACTTCCTTCGGCTTACGCTCAATAGCAACGCCGAGTGTCCCTCTGAGTGGTGTATCAAAAGACACGCTTGCGCGTAATCTCCAACGCCTGCTGACGCAGGCGCACACCAATCAGCAAGTCAAGGTCTCGCCGTTTACCGTAATCAAACAGAGATTTCACAACAAAAGCTGGACGGCCATGCACCACCTCCCTTGGAATCAAGAAAGAGCTGTCAATCTGTCAATCCTTCCCATGTCTGGACCTGGTGAGTTTCCCCGTGTTGAGTCAAATTAAGCCGCAGGCTCCACTCCTGGTGGTGCCCTTCCGTCAATTCCTTTAAGTTTCAATCTTGCGATCATACTCCCCCCGGAACCCAAACGCTTTGGTTTCCCTAAAGGTCCCGATGGCGCCTCCATCACAGAATGATTTGTGCTGCCCACCGAGCCCTGGCCGGCATCGTTTATGGTTAAGACTACGACGGTATCTAATCGTCTTCGATCCCCTAACTTTCGTTCTTGATCAATGAAAGCGTCCTTGGCAAATGCTTTCGCAGTCGGCGGTCTTTCGTAAATCCAAGAATTTCACCTCTGACAACGAAATACCAGTGCCCCCAACCGTCCCTATTAATCATTACTTCAGACCCGATGTGGTGAGGGAGGAACAAGAAAACCTTGCGGTTTCTCACTCCACACCCCCGCACCACACGCCAACAGTACAGGCCCAAAAGTCCTCTTCCGTTGTTCCATGCTAATCTATTCAAGCAAATCAAATGACTGCCTGCTTTGAACACTCTAATTTTTTCAAAGTAAAGCCCCCAACAGCGCCCCACCACTACGTGACTTGACACACACCCAATCAAGGGCACGCGCCAAAGGCGCCACCAGGGAATATTAAAACTGCAGAGCGCAAACAGTGCGAGGCAGAAGAAGGCGCGCGTAGAACACACCCTCTCCACCCACACACCGTGAACCCCGCATGAAATCCAACTACGAGCTTTTTAACTGCAACAACTTTAGTATACGCTTTTGGAGCTGGAATTACCGCGGCTGCTGGCACCAGACTTGCCCTCCAATTGTTCCTTGATAAGGTCTTTACATTGTTCTCATTCCAATTGCACAGTGCATAAAAAACACCGTGCATTGGTATTTATTGTCACTACCTCCCTGTGTCAGGATTGGGTAATTTGCGCGCCTGCTGCCTTCCTTGGAAGTGGTAGCCGTCTCTCAGGCTCCCTCTCCGGAATCGAACCAAATGTTCCCCGTCACCCGTTGTCACCATGGTAAGCCAATACCTTACCATCGAAAGTTGATAGGGCAGAAATTCGAATGAGACACCATCACACACAAAAGTGTAACGGTCAGCAAAGTTATTCTGATTCACCAGTCATGTTCCTGCTGGCTTTATACCTAACAAATGCAGCCCTCGAGAAGAAAAAATGCGCATACACACACCTCTCTCTCGGGCCTTGTCGCACGTATTAGCTCTAGAATTACCACGGCTATCCGTCTAGCACAACACCGCTCCGAAAAACGAGTTGCAAACTATCAAATAAACTATAACTGATTTAATGAGCCATTCGCAGTTTCACAGTATCAAGAATACTATTCATACTTAGACATGCATGGCTTAATCTTTGAGACAAGCATATGACTACTGGCAGGATCGACCAGTTATCTCTCCATAGAAGGGGCAGTGGCAGGTTGTGGTGTGAAAGTGTATGAGTGTGTGTGAATGCGTTGAATGCGTGCGTAGATGTATGCGAATGCGTGTAGGTTGTAAGCCCACACACAATGCACACACAATGCACACACAACACAATGCTCAACACATCACATTGCACACACACAACACACCACAGCCGCCGCCCAGCTATGGCTGTCGAAGATTCAGAAGAGATAAGAGAGACACAAAGGGACAAGAGAGAGAAGAAACACAACAATGCAATGACTGCTGTGCATGTTCCCTTCTTCTTCCCCTCATTGTCCACTCACTCACTCGTCCTGCACCCCAACAAACAAAGCTTCCACAAGCAACACGCACATCGCTGCACGTGCCACTCGGGTCGTTCTGTTTTTTCTTTTTGGTTTTGTTCTTGTGGCTATGCACACAACAACAACCCCAGACACACACACACAAGAAGGTGTGGATGAAGCAGTGTCATTCAATGCAGTACACAATGTGTGTGTTGTTCTCAGCGAGTGCCAGTGACAACAACCTGCTCTGCCAACAAAACACACACCACCATTGTTTCGCATCTGCATGCATGTGTGTGTGTGAGTGCAAACAACGCAACGTTGCTCACACAACACACAATACACAGCACACACAAGTACAATGGCAGCACGTGCCCATCAGCAGCATGCAGTGCGCATGGCTCTCTTTCGAAACAACACACAACACTGTTTCGCATCAAATGTACTTCATCCACGCCTGTGTGCGTGCCTAAAATCATCATCGTGCTCACAGCACAGTTTGCCTCCACTCATGATAGAGTGTTGCTCAAGGCACCCTCTCAAGAAGAACAATCCACACCGCGATCACGGCGGGATTGCCTCCTGCATGCGCAAGCTTGGTATCATCAAGGACAGTCGCCACCTGCCGTTAATA